GGGTGGGGAGGAGCAGTTTGCCAAGGGGAGGTTGCTGGCTTTGATTTAAAAAAAAAAACATCTAAGCCACTCACCCCCAATTAAGCTGACAATTAAGCAGCAACAACCCCCACGGTTCCCCAGTGAGCACCACAGTAGCAGAGGAGGATGGGTATTGTAGTCTCTCTCCCACCCACCTTTGGATGGTCCCAGCCTAGAGAAGCCAATATGTCCTGGCAGGGCTTCACAGAAGCCACATTCTGTGATGCTCGAGGATGGAGGGGGTGGTCCAGGTGGGGGGGGGAGCTTCCTCAGATTTCTGATCTGGCGTGCGCGAGGGGTGGGGAGAGAGAGGGAGCCTGAAGGGAACCCCCTCCCCCACACCCCTTTCCGGCAGTGGCTTGCTGGTAATCCAGTTTAACCTACATTTCGGAGGAGAACTGCAGCAGTGCCTCCTGCAAAGATGCCACCAGGCAGCCGTACAGAGATCTGAGCCATGGATGAACCAAGAACACTCCCTCGGGCCATTGGACCCAGGGCCTACCTCTCTCTTGGCCTTTTCCTTCAAACCAGCCCCACCACCACCACCAACATCCACCACACACTACAGCCCCAGAATCCAAATTTCACAAAGACCTCCCCCCCTCCTCCCTCTGCATTGTGCCTCCAACGACAGAATAATATTTAATAAATAAATAAAAACAACATCAGGAACAAGGAACACACAGCTTCTTACGGGAAAGATTCTTTGCACGATATTTTGTGGCGGATGTGGCAGGCAAGGAAGAAAAGGGTGGAGAAGGTGGGGGGGAAGAGGGGAAGGCTTCAAAGCCCCTCTGTACCACCAGCACCGCTTTTGAAACCACATGCGATTATGTTTCTGAAATGTTTTCCTTTCTGCTTAGCTCACAAATGGCACTAAAATGCATCGCTTAAGAGCAATTTGATCTGAGATCTTGGCAGTCTTTTACCGGTAACGTTCTCATCCCCGCCTCCCACCCATCCAACCACCCACTCCCCAGGAAATCTGATGTCCTTCAGAGATGAACTACAAGCCCCATCATCCTCAGTTCAACCAATAGGGGTAGAGATCCTGTTCCAGGTTTACTAATATCTTTTCCCCCAGCCTGCATGGACACCCCCCCCCCAAAGAAGTGGCTCTAATAAATTATTTTTGCATTGTACTGCATACCCTGGCCTTTCCCCCCCAGTTTAAATATTTCACACTGGATGGGGGGGAGGAGGCCCAATCCTGTGCCGATTTGCTGGGAAGCAAAATCCTTTAAGGACGAGCCAGGATCCTTTTCCACCGGCCTGGAGAGGGTGTCACAGCAGTCTTTCAATCACACGCTGAGATGCCCCCAAAAATGCCCTCCTTCGAAGAGAGGGGGAGGTAGATAAAGTTGGACGCTGGACACCTCTTTTCTTTTCAAGCAAGGAAAGAAAAATGGAGAAGAAAGAAGAGGAAAGGAGGGACAAAGCCACTCCTCAAGGTGAAAGGAATCCGACTTGGCTCCTTCCTTCATCCTGGGGAATCCATCAGCACCTTTTCTGTGCCAGGATCCTGGCCAGGGACCTGAATTGAGCCCTCCTCACCTCACCTCTAGGTTTGGGGAAGGGCGGGGTGGGGGTGGAATCTAATAAAGCCAAACCCATCCTCCGAAACCCTCTGGTCGAAGCCCCCCCCC